GAGGCTGTCCAAGCAGGAGAGGGAGAAAAAGAAACACAGCGAATAACAGAACAAGAAAGTGACCCCAACACACAGAAAACCCTCATTTCAATGCACACTTGTCACAACGATCATAGCAAAGCAATTTCTGGGGTTTTTTGGGGGAAAAGGAACACCTGCTGCTTTTGTAGGAGCGTTTCTCATTGGTAATCAGGCCAACACATTCCTGTTTGCTGTCCTGGTCTGTTCGGCACAAACGGGTCATGTCTTTAGTTCAGCACGTGGCTCAAAAAGCAAGTTCAGAGCTAGTGTACGACATAGTGGGGGACTCCCCGCGCTGTGCAGAATTGACTGCGGTGCGCTTTCCTCGCTGCAGGGACTCGGGAACAGGAGAGCTGCTTTGCAGTGATCTCTCCCTTGTGTCTACCTCCCCTCCTCCTGCCCCCCCCCTTCTCTCCTGCTCTCAGAGGCACAGAAGCTGCCCTATTACGCCAGCTACAGCCCAGTGCGGCTGATGATCCACTCTCTGTGCACCAGTCACTACCTGGACCTCTTCATCACCGTCATCATCTGTGTCAACGTTGTCACCATGTCCCTGGAGCACTACAGCCAGCCTCCGGTGAGTTCACCCCCCCCACCTCTCTGCAGGTATAGTTGGACCCCTTTTCCGCCCCTATATCGTGCCCACCGAGCCTGCACTCACTGTGTCTACCTCTGTGTCTGCGCCAGTCCCTGGAGACGGCGCTGAAGTACTGCAACTACCTCTTCACCACCACCTTCGTCCTGGAGGCCGTGCTGAAGCTGATCGCCTTCGGGTTCCGCCGCTTCTTCAAGGACAGGTACCGCCGCGCCGTCTTCATGTTCTCGTCTCTTGTTCGCGTGTGTTCTAGCACATAACCGAGGGCAGCACCCGTGTTTGCAGGAGCACTGCGCTCCAAGTAAACAAAATGAAAACAAAAGCACCGCGATCGGACCTCAGCGACTGAGCCGCGAAGTTCCCGGCCCGAACCGCGCGCGGCTCACCGCTGTGGAAACTGCGCGGTGCCGATTGAACCATATCACGCCTCCTGGAGAAACTCTGCACGATCGTGGGGCTGGAGCCCTTACAGGCCCCCCCCATCCTCAATCCGGCAGTGCTCTCTCTCAGGAGAAACTCGCCAGACGATCCCGCTGGATCCTTCTGTACTGGGGGGGGGGGGCACATAAGTTGTTTCCCGCGCAGTCGACACAGAAGCGGTCCCGCCCAGGGCGATGAGGTCGGAGACTTCCTTAGCGCGCGGCTGAATTCCCTCCCCCCCCGTCGTCGGCCCTCCGCTCGCGGTCACCCTGCATGTCCTTGTGCGCCCCCCCGCCCCAGGTGGAACCAGCTGGATCTGGCCATCGTGCTGCTGTCGGTGATGGGGATCACTCTGGAGGAGATCGAGATCAACGCGGCCCTGCCCATCAACCCCACCATCATCCGGATCATGAGAGTGCTGCGGATCGCCAGGGGTGAGTCTGGAGGCCGAGGCTGGAGGTGGGGATTTGGGGGGGAGTCTGTCGGCCGCAGGGCACGATTGCTGAGTCCCCCTCTGTGCTCGGCAGCGTGGATGTGCAGACCGAAGAGTCCAGATATAACTTAGAGTTATATAAGCTCTCTGGGATCCATGACAAAAGCTCTGTGTGTTATTCAGGAATAGATTTCTTCAGGAATAGATTTGCTACTTACAGCTATTGACCCTCCCTTATTGCTCATTCCAGCTCTCTTGTGTCTTTTGTGCTCTTTATGAAGATTATAGCTGGTCTTTAAGGCAGAGTCGTAACCTGAGTCTCGCATGCAGGGGATGTTTCTGGATGTATCTCGGAGAATCAGACTTCTCACGAATGTTAGCCGCAGGACAGGGGCCTGGTGGTCCGGTGTTTAAGGCAAAGGTCTTGGATCAAACAGTTGTGGGTGTTTTCTGTAGTAAAACCCAAAGAGCCCGAAAAGAACCTAGAGCTACTCTTCTCGTCCTCTCTGTCTCTCTCTCTCCTCTCCTCGGCCTCTCTGTCTCTCTGTCCTCTAATCGCCCTCTCTGTCTGTCTCTCTCTTGGTCAGTGCTGAAGCTGTTGAAGATGGCCACTGGCATGAGAGCGTTGCTGGACACAGTGGTGCAGGCCCTGCCTCAGGTACGGTGAATGTCTCTCTCTGTCCTTCTCTCCATCGCCTTTCTCCTCTCTCTCCTCCTACCTCTCTCTATCCCCTTTCTCCCCTCTCTTCCTCTCAATTTCCATTCAAGAACCTTTTTTGGCCTGACTGGTGAATTTCAGTGTTGCTGAAGCGTGTACAAGCAACACAACATCTACAGACATTTACAACACAGACACGTCATAAGATGTTAACATACAACATACAGAGCATTATTGGGAGACAGGCTCAGTGTTCCTCAGGGTGCGACAGGAGATCACATACTGGGCTACCAGTTGAACTCCCTGCCCCAGGTGACAGAACAGCCCCTGCATTGACACACGTTGACAAGAGAGTGGCCAGTTTTAGATGAGTGAATTCTCATCCCCAGGAATAAATCTCGATCTGGAAAGCGCCCCCCTGTGAATACTAGTGTAACGTGCTGCCTGTTTAACGTTTAGCCCTTGTTTCAATGAGTGAAAGAGAGCACTTTGCCTGTATTTTTAGTTTGACCTTTCATGGTACGGCCCTGATGAAGTACAGACTGGCCAGAAACAAAATGCGTAGTCTTCACAGTTCCCCCCAGAGAGGGGGGCAGGTCTCTCTCTCTCTCTCCATGCACTTTGTGCCGGTGTCTCAGTGAGTCGGCGTCTCAGTGGATGTGTTACCAGAGGCACGACCAGGCCTTCTGAGGGCAGGCTCCAGCTCATGAGATCCAGCCTCCTTGCTTGGGATCCAGGGATAATAAGTGGCAATAAAATCAGATGCTTTTGCCAAGACGTCCATCTTTCATTAATCTATATCCCTCCGCTGAATTTCAAGGACATCTGGAGAGTAATTAACAGGGGAAGTGAATAATGAGCCCTTCACTAAATGCTTTATTGGCTAATTAGCAGGAAGGAGCGTTTTTTTTTTTTTTAAAGAGCCTACTGCTTGAAAAGATGGATTTAAAAAAAATGAATTTCCCATTCCATACAGTACCGTTCCTTGCAGGCTTTTGAACAAAAATGGCCAGATCAGCCCCACGTGTCTCTGCGGCTGTTGGGCTGTGTGAGCTCCCTTCTTCTTGTTCACCCCCTGACACGTCTCTCACCCTTCTGTGGGCTTGCTCACGGTCCTCGCTGTCCAGACGTGTGTGTTGGGGTATCGGCCCACAACACTCACAGCAGCTGTCGAAACTCCAGACCGACCCCCTGCGCAGGCCCCTTGCTCCAATCTAACAGCCTGAAAGACAGCCTGGATTTGCAGACTTAAAAATCTCGGCTGTCGATATGTGATCAATACCCGAGGGCGATGAGAGCACGTCTCCTTCTCCTTCTCAGGAAAAATACCTCAAACGCCCAATGTAATGTAAACGGATCCAGGGATCTTCTTACAGTTGCATCACTGAAGCGGTTGATTGAAGGGGATGTATTTAGCATGAGCAGCTAACACTGTTTGCTTACTTGATTGACAGAGATTTTCAACCGCACAGTGAGGTTTTCTTTCACGACACTATGCTGTTTAGCTGAGCCTGGCCCAGGGTGCGATTATCCTGGCTGTGCTGTGAAAGGTAACGTTGCTGCTCTTACACTCTTCTGTTTCAGGTGGGAAACCTGGGGCTGCTGTTCATGTTGCTGTTCTTCATCTACGCAGCGCTGGGCGTTGAGCTGTTCGGAGAGCTGGGTGAGTGAGAAGCACGAGGTGTGAGCTCAGGTGTAGCCCGGTACAAAAACACACAATGTAGCACAATCAGGTTGGCTAGGTTTGTAGTCCATACAGCCCGGAGATCACAGCCAGGGTCCCAGTCCAGGATGAGCCCCTACAGCCTGGAGATCACAG